TCTTCTTCTTCTTCCTTCTTCTTCCTCTTCTTCTTCTTCCTTCTTCTTCCTCTTCTTCTTCTTCTTCCTTCTTCTCCTTCTTCTTCTTCCTAATACTTGATGAAGTAGGTGCCTACTTGATTGAGTCGGGGTCGGAAGTAAGCTACTAGGAACTTGTTCGCTCCCAGCTAGGACCCCAGCTCGGACGCGGGATAGCTCACGCTTTTTCAAGGAAGCTGGGGGGAGCTTCCTTGAAGAAGCGCACTAATGATTTGGTTCCTAAACTTTTCGGGACACTTAAGAGTTTTTGGTCACTAGTAGCGATGCCAGCTACTAGTAGCGCCCTTGCTCCGTTCGTAGCATCCTAGAAGCATGCTCCACAGGTGTTGATCGCCATGCAGGCATCTCACCGGCCGCCGTGAGCGATCTGAGGCCCGGGGGGGAGTGGACAGCGATCGGCGATGGCCGACCGTCGCAGCATCCGAGGTGTGTTTCCCATCCGTTCACATCCGTCTATCGCATGGAAGACCATCGGTGTCTCCACCAACAGAGAACACCGTTTCGAGGTCGCAAAGTGCATAAAGTGGTCACAGGACGGGGAAGAAAAGCACAAAGGAGAACCGAACAGCTCTGCCACATGGCCGGCTGTTTTATTTTTAGGCCAGGGGAGGTTATGCTGTTTGCATGTTTCCCATTTTTGGGGTGAGCAATAGCTTAAGTAGCTGTTACCTGGCACACAGAAGGGCTCAGGCTTAATGATTTGGTTTAAGTTCATAGACGACCTTTCTTCTTTGCTTTTTTGTTTCTATTAGCGATGGCCTCCAACCTACTGCTTAATGATTTGGTTCCTAGTCTTTTGGGGGGGAAAGCTGAACTAACGACTACGCCGACTCTGGCAGCTTAAGGAACGTAGGATGCAGCATCAGTGAGACCAGGAACCTCAGCTTTTGGGACATTGAGACGCATGTCCTTCAGTGGAAGAGAAAATTCAATGCTGGTCCCTGAGAGAAAATCGCTTCTCTATGGATGCTTCGTTCCAGACTGAAGACTTCGCTTTCCATGGCGAGCTTCCGCCTTCCGCCTTCCGCGGCAGGTCTGCGGCCGTGGAGCACACGGCGCAGGTGGTCCTGTCGTGTCGCCGTGTCCACAGAGCGGGACGCCCAGGTCCACCACCCCTGGCCTGAGCAGAAATTTTGCCAGTCCCATGGAGTAGCAAATAGCTACTAGTAGCGTCCGATCGCTCCTAGTAGTACTGCCAGGAGCGCCCCCGAAGGTTTCTTGCGAACATGGCGATGCCGTTACGTAGCGATGCTTCTTGTTCGTCCCATGGAGTGTTTGAGGAGTAGAGGAAGCGAAGCGATTCTGGTTTCTCCTGCGAACGTCAATGAATATCACCCGTATCAGTAGATGAATTCTTCGACATCGATGAAGACTATCACCTACCAGACAGCTGCAATGATGGTGGAATGGTGGCTTGATGGCTGTCACTAGTCACAACTCGAAATTAGAAGAGGCAAGTTGCAAGTTACCATTCGTTTGAATTCCTGGCCAATTGAAGAACCCACCGAACGCCCGGTCCTGAAGAAGACCCGAACAATAAGGGATCCTCAGCATCCGAACGCGTCCATCTCTTATTTTTTTTACATGGAAACCCAAACAGCGAGAAACAAATGGATGTTCCGATATTTGCAATTGAAGTCCCGTACATTGGTAAAAATAAATATCTTAAATCCTGCTAGGGGTGTCTTTTCCATCCGTCAGGCTTGTGACTTTGTGACCCTGACCGTCTCCGTCAATGAGAAAACCCCGGAAAAACACGGCCTGGGACATCACCCCCACTTTGGTCTTTGAAGCCGGGGAGGGTTGTATCCAAGCCTGCAACTTCACATGCTCGACCCAAAACCTTCCTGAAGATTCGACGGGTCCACGAAGAAACCGGATCATGGCATGTTTAGGCTACAAAAGGTGTTGCGTTTTGTCGTTTTGGGGGAGGTCAACACGTGTCGATCCACGCTTGGTTTGGAGCCACTGGACCAGGAGGAAGCAGAGATCCCGCTGCGGAAGGAGTGGAGGGATGGGGCAAAGCCATGCGAAGTGCCGCTGCGAAGTGAAATGAACATTTGCAGCTCCACATGCAGTGTATAAAGATGATGGACCGGAGTCATTCTGTGGGGCATGCGCTCATGACCTGAGCACTGCTTTCAGGTACGGCCCACTTCCGACACATGGGGCGACCTATGGGTCGCTTGGTCCTCTTTCTACAGCACTCTGGGCATAAGATGCTCAGAAAGCGAATGATTCGCAGCATTGAACGCGTCGACGCACCATCCGCATTCACAACTCTGGTGGGGCCGACAATTTACCTTTCGACCCTACTTGCCGGAGTTTGCATTGAAATCGTCACTGACTGCAACCGGGAAGATGCCCGAGGCTGGACGCATCTCACTGTCCTTGTGTTAGCTGCAACATTCTGCTACTTCTACGGTTCCCTCCGCGTAGTTACTGCATCTGGGGTCGTGACTACATGTGACTACCTTGTTACTTTTGCGGAGCTTTTGGGATAGTACGGCTCTTTGTCCATCCCCGCACTCTTGTGGGACAACACTCTTGTATGACACTCACTCTTGCGGAACACTCTTGTGGGACACTCTTGTAAAACACTCTTGTGCGGCACTACTACTAAAGTCTCCAAAAGTCAACCGTCAGTGCCCCGTACAGGACTTGCTCCAAAAGTCACATGTCAAAGTCTCCAACACGAGCATTTCTTTCGAGACTTCCTCCAAAAGTCCAGCGGGAAGCCCCATCGGAGCACACGCACCCAAACACCACCACAACTCGCAACCTCATGATTCCCTGCGTCTGCCAGGAAAATTTCACCTCCACACCTCAAAACTCGCACAAAGTACTGCGCCTGCCACGAAAAGTGACACTATCATATCTTCGTAGATTCAGTAAATTGTTCACCACACCACAGGCTTGGAATGATTTCAACACGTTCTGAGCACGCTCCCAGCCACCAAAGTCGCTATTTTAGCTAAGACTTGTCACGAAAACACAGCTTCGAAGCAACGCAAATCCCAATGTCACAGCCACATCCAACACCCCAAAAACACCACCCTCTAAACACCAATCCCAAGCTGGCTGTGCAGAAAACTGAAGAGCTCACAAAACGCTGCGCCTGTGCAGTGAGTCATCCTCCACACTTCATCCTCTCACGTTTCCACACGTTTCCTCGCTATTTCACACGAACTGACACGTCATGCTTCCATCCAAAACCCTCTCCAAAACCTGCCACGTCAGCTTGGAGGCTGAAGCATCACCAGCTTCTGCACTTCACCGAGGTTGTTGACTGCAGAGATCAAACTAGCCTCTCAACAAATGGCCCTCCACCTAGAAGCGATGGCCTCCAAATGAAACTAGCCTCCCAACACACATGGAAGTGGACCATGGCCTCCCGAATGCATAGCGAAGGGTTCATTGCGCCATGTCGTCGTCGTGTCGTCGTCGGGTCGGCTCGCTGTTAATGCTCGTCGTTAATTCGCGTTGGGGGCTGGGCCTTTTTCAGGCGCTGCTTCTTTAAATGCTAAAGGAACGAGAAATGCCAAGAGAATTTAACTTTCCACACGGAGCATGGTGTGAGATCCAGCTCGCAGCGCATCTCGACCCACTGTTAAATCCACATGTTCGCGCCCAAACCTCGAAAAAAACAAGGTGAGCCCAATAGCAAAAAGAAACGCGCAACCCAGGAAAAATATACAAACACACATTAGCAGGCCAAAACGAAGCATCAGCCCCCTCCAGGCTTCGTGGCAACCATGATATTCCAAGCATCGCAGTTCTGGTGCACATCCGTCCACCCCCGTCTGCCATATACACCCCCGTCCACCCCTTGGTCAGTTTTGAAAGCCCTCCAAAACGGTCATAAAACGATTGCAACATGGCTTCTAACAACCCTTAGGAAGCGTGGAGCAGCATCAGCTCCCTCCATGCTTCGTTCCAACCATGAAATTTGAAGCATTGCGGTTCTGGCATGCAACCATCCTGCCGTTTCTGCAATGACTTGGGCTGTCTTCGGCATACATTGCACACATTCTGGACACCCAAGACCGTCATATAGGCCGTGCCAGACAGTTCCACTCGCGCAATAACGTTCTTCCGTTCTACTTAGCATCCATCTTCCTTCCACACCCCCGTCCACGCCCGTCCACCCTCCCATCTCCATCCATAGCCCGTCCACACCCATCTTCCGTCCACGAAAATGCTTGCCTCGTCTCGCTCTGCTCCCCCACTAACGACTAAACTAAACGAGAACCCAAGCATTGGAGATTCTGTTTGGGAAAAGCACGCGCATGCGTACTGCTGTGCCAGCGCTACAGTGCATCACACGCGGTCAAATGCTTTCGGGCCATTCGTCGTCTAATTTTTTGGCATAGATTCCGGTGGCGTGCATCGTTGGCATGATCAGGGCGTCGATATGGCGGAGATATCCCAGGAGGAGAGGATTTGTCGTTGGTTTTTCTCGAACAAGCCTTTGCGGGCTTCGATCTTAAGAATTTACACCGGCGTAGACCCTAGATAGAAATATCCTTGCAGTAAGAGGAAAACAAGACGGTTCCCTTTTTAGTCGGATTGGAGGTTGGTTGTACAAGCAGTTCCCGGGCAAGCCGGCGGCGGAAGTTTCCTATAGGAACAAATTGACCTATAGGAGTGTCCCGGTTCTTTCCACCATGCGTGTCCCTCGTGTCCCTCAGTCAGACGCATGAGTGATGAGTGATGAGTAAAGCATAGCTCTAGCTCCACTAAAGCTAACTGGAGCTAGCCGTTAACTATGATGTGATAGCTTGTCTAGACACGAAGCTAATTAGCTCAAATTTGTCGACCTCTCAAAACACGTGTTTTGAGGTCTCCAGAAAGTAATCGAAATGACCACTTTTGAGAAGCAAAGTGCTATTAAAATTTGTCAACCTCTCTCGAACCCGGTGGTCGGGAGACATGACATGACTCAGCTGCAGGGGCGCCAGAGCAGCCGTGAGAGATGACTCAGCCGCGTACTAAAGTTGTACTACCAAGTCGCCAGTTCTCATCTTCCAGCTCCCCAGATACTCCGCGCACTACAAAGTCGCCAGTTTTCATCTTCCAGCTCCCCAGGTACTCCGCGTAAGCTTCCAGCTCCACAGATTGCTCCGTGCACTAGAGTTGTACTACAAAGTCGCCAGTTCTCATCTTCCAGCTCCATAGATTGCTCTGCATACTACAGCTGTACTACAAAGTCACCAGTTCTCGGCTTCCGGCGCTCCCCAGATACTCCGCGTACTAGGGTTGCACTACAAAGTCGCCAGTTCGCAGCTTTCTCAGCTTCCAGCTCCACAGATTGCTCCGCGTACTACATACAAAGTCGCCAGTTCTCAGCCTCCAAGGTTCACAAAGCGCTGCGCCTGCCACGAAATCTGCACATGGAGGTTCACAAAGTGCTGCGCCCGCCACGAAATCTGCACATCGAGGTTCACAAAGTGCTGCGCCTGCCACGACATCTGCTCATGGAGGTTCACAAAGTGCTGGGCCTGCCACGAGATCTGCACTTTCAGGTTCACAAAATGCTGCGCCTGCCACGAAGTCTGCACATCGAGGTTCACAAAGTGCTGCACCTGCCACGAATTCTGCACATGGAGGTTTGAAACTAACTGGAGCTAGAGCTCTTGAAGAGCTAACTGGATGATGAGTGGTGCATGATGAGTGGTGTATGATGGGTGGTGTATGATGAGTGGTGCATGATGAGTGGAGTATGATGAGTGGTGTAAGATGAGTGGTGTATGATGAGTGGTGTCTGATCAGTGGTGTCTGATGAGTGGTGTATGATGAGTGGTGCATGATGAGTGGTGTATGATG